TTCAAGATAAAGTCTCAAAGTTGCTCTTGGCTTTATGCTTGCAATTTTCAGTGGAAATAGCCTGTAGTATAGCACTTCCTTGCTTGGCTCTTATGTATTCCTATAGTCTGTGTCTTGTATACATGTATGTGTGTGTGTACTTGTGTGCACAAGAAGGTAATCTCTGCTGTCATTCTTCAGATATCATCTATCTTGATTTTTGCTGCCAGATCTCCTATTGGCCTTGGACTTGGTATGTCCAGCTTACTTCATTTGGGATCTCTGGATCAAATTCAGGTCTCTGTGTTTACAAGGTAAGTACTTTAACTCCTACCCCAAATCCACAGGGCCAGACATTACTTCTTGGGCGGATGTGCATTTTATCTTTGGGGCATAATTTTCCACTGGACGGAACAGACTGGCAGCAAGTGAGCCTACTATAGTTCTCTCACTTTTACTTCTGCTGAGATCCCTACTATTTGCAAAATGTGCAACTTATCCAATGCTCTAGTATTCACTCTGTGATCCTCTACAACATCTTCAACAACTGACTTCATCCTGTGGTTCAAGTCCTTGCTTCTTTTCACCCTTGTGAAACTCTTCATTGGCATTTTTACTCCCAATTCCCAGTCCCAGAATTCTCCACCACCAATATGTTATGTTCTTGCTTTCCCCCCCACAACTGGTAAGTAAAGAAGTTAAAGTGCATGCTGCCTTTGCTTTGATCTTTTATATATATATGAGAAATAATTTAATTCCTAGAATGGTCTTCTGGACTTTATGGTTCAGAAAATTATGCTCAGCATCTATTTATAATAATGATTTTTCCCACTATCGCCTTAGTGAAGATTGTGAAGTAGAAGATTATGTTGCTTTGCATTTTCTAAGTATGATCCCATGAATGTAAAGGAGAAAAAAACTTTCTTAAATTGATAAAAAGTAAGGGCAAATCAAGAAACATACTGTTGTTCTTGACATTATATAGGCAATATTTTACTTCTTTCAATACATTTTCAATTGCAATGTATTTTTCATGTTTCAAGTGAGGAACGCGGAGCTCAGTGAAGCCGAGATGCCTGTTGACCTTTCATAATAAAAGTAGCACAGTCAGACTCTCCTCTCACATCTTGCTTCACACTCATGTTCTACACCATGGGCTAGACTTTAGGCTGAGCCTAATGGCATAATCTATGTCATGTAGTCACCAGTTGACTCTGAGGCAGGTATCCTAGGTTCCATTTTCAGATAAATAAACTGAATCTCAAAGAAATTATATAATCTATTTAAGGTCATTCAGCTAAGAAATAGCCGAATTGAGCTTGGCTGTCTCCAGAGTCCATGTTCTTTCTGTAAGAAAATGTGACCATTAATTAAAGGTAGCTATGAACTAACTCAGTTTAAACACGTAGCATCATATCATAATGGTCTGTTTAGGAATTATTATTTGTTTGATCCCAAAGGGTCAAATTTGTTCCTTATATTCTGTGGAATTCTGTTCTCCTTGAGTGGTAGAGTATTAGTGAAAACTAAAAAAGAGCATAGGTCTGTCTAGCCAAAGGGAATGGCGCCAAATAAAAGATGTATCTTAGATTTCCAGTTTTGTTTCAAGGGTTTCCATATGGAGATGGAATTAGCTTTTGTTCAAATTACTTGCTAGATTAGAATTATGACAGATGATGACTCTAAACCAGAGGGAAATATTTTGAAAGAGTATACAGAGAAGTTTTGTGAAAGTTCCATCTGTCTAAATATGGGGTACACTGTCTTAGGGAGTGAGAATACTCAGAAGCCTGGAGACCACTTGGCAAGGTCACTATCGCCACGATCTGATGACATTTAAGGTCCTTGGATTTGGATGCTTTTCTGACAGGGCCTGGCATTGCTGTGTATCCATCCTGGATGAATGCCCGCTCATTCTGCATATCTGGGCTGTGTTCCCTAGCAGTTGGCACAGGTAGCTTAGAAATGCAGCCATCCAGCAAGCATGGGTCTCTTTTTCAGTCTTCATCAACTCTGGGAGTGTCAGTCTCCACCACAAGAGATATAAGGACATTAGTGATAAATGCTGTCACTGGGATGGCAAAAAGGGATATATAATATGTATCTGTGTTTTCTTGTATCTATGTCATGATAATAAAAATGAAGAAAGACTCAGATGCTGTCTCATAAGATCAACATCTTCCTTGGTATCATGTGTGGTGCTGATAGTTTCCTGTTTTGTTTGAGTGACCAAAAGAATGGTAGCGATAAAATAATTACGACAATTTTCAAGTGATTACTGTATTTTAGGTGTCATTATTCTTGACCTCTTGTCCTTGAGCAGAGTGAGATGCAAAAGGTGTCTATAGCAGGGTCACACAGCTCCTAAGAAGTACAGTTACTCTTCAAATACAGGCCTATCAGAAAATGTATTTGATTATTTTAACTGTTACTTATATTCCCAAATTGATGGTATTTTTATTTTTTATATTATAAAGTTGTTAGCACTATTTCTTTATTGTTAAATAATTCTTGATGAGATGCTATAAAAGAATCAGGTGGGGTTGGGGGTGGCTATTTACAAACATATGAACTGTCTTTTTATCATGCAGAGTGGAAAGAATACTGAATTCAGCATTGACCTTGTTTCAGTCACACTCTTTCTTTTGTATTAATGTGTGTTTCCTTGACTACAATTACTTGGGTGGAAGGTTTCTTTTCAGCATGCAATCTTGCTGTGTAGCAGCCTACCAAGTACTGGGTTTTTAGGTGTGCCATTTCACCCGCAGAAAGAAATTTTTCAAGGAAGTATCCTGAGAAAGCAGACATAAGGGAGAAAGCAGGCTAATATCAGGGTAGATCATGGAGGGCATTTCATTAGGTCGTAAGATCCAGTTCTTAGCACCATGATTAGCACCGCATACTTCTTAGCATAAAATACAGGAGACCAGATCATTTGTCCATCTGACTGTTGAGGGGTTTTCCCAGGAGCTCCACTTGTATGACATTAAAAAGAGACCATCATAGAGTCAAGTGTGGAAATGCAAGCACAAGGAATGAATAAAGCTTAAGCTACCATGATATCAGTAGCTAAAAACAGAATATGACACAGCACTGAGATCAGCCATACAGAATCATAACAAATGCTGTTTTCTTTTGGCTTTTATAATTGTGTGTGTTGTGGACACGTGTATATGTGTTCAGATGTGCGTGGAGGCTAGAAGATGACGCCAGGTGTCTTCATTCATCACAGCCCATTTTATTTACAGCTTACTTAATTAATGGAAAGAAAGTCCTGAAGAATGGGTATCTGCCTGCAGTGACTTAGCTGAGCCTTTACAAAATTATCCACACAGGGTTGCCTTATCCTTGTGAACTGTTTGCTCCTGAGAGTCCAGAGTAAAAATATCAGAAGGACCAATGTGGTTTCTTTTCCAGTTCATCTCACATTGTTCATCTCTATTCTTTGCATTTCTTTCCCATAGACAGCTGCATTTGCATATAAGTATTGTGCACAGCAAAGGCTATGAGAGTGACAAGAAGGGATTGCCAGCACATGAAATCCAATAAGGACACTGAGTTTTGTCTTGTGAACTAAGGAGTGTGGTAATTAAAGCATTATTTACAATGCAATAAAGGCAGAGCTAATTACTGACAAGCGACAGTGAAACAATACACTTTCCCAGTGAAACTAGACTGGGATCAGCCTTCATTATGAATCCTCCAACTGTCTTCTTTGTTAATTATGATCTTCATAATCCTTTCCCTGGCAATATTTGCCTAATTTATTGCCACTCTATAATGCAGGATTAATAGAAAGTGAGGCAGGAATAATGAGAGAACTAAGAACTATTGTGTGAGCCCCTGGATCTCTAACATGAATACAAAGACCCAGGAGAGAAAGGTGGTGGTGGTTGACCTTCAGTCAGAGACAGAAGCATTACTGTGACTATGCACCAAGACATAGGCTTAACTTTTGAGAGCTGAGTCCAGAACACACAAGAGTCTCATGTTATGAGATGTCTCTTCTATATCTGAATTATTGAAACATATACCCTGAGTTAGAGATGTCTTTGCAAAAAGGGAGGAAGAAAAGATTTGACACTGTAAAAATTTTGGCTCTGTGAGACTGCAAATGACCATGGTCAAATCTTTTCTTCCCCCTTTCAATTTCTACATCCTCCTCCTTTTTCCATGTCTTTGTTCTCATCCACTTTCTTTTCTTGTTTCTGAAAATATAAAATACTTCCAAAACTAAAATATACTTATACCTCCTATAAGCACTCGGGAGGCAGAGGCAGGCTGATCTCTGTGAGTTCGAGACCAGCCTGGTCTACAGAGCTAGTTCCAGGACAGGCTCCACCAAAATCACAGAGAAACCCTGTCACGAAAAACCAAAAAATGAAAAAAAACTGGACTATGGTTGTGTTTGGGCTACAGACCATACTGTTTTCAACTTACATTACATTATATGCTATTGCACTCAGCCCTAAAATCTCTAGTTGGTGCAGGACAAAATAAACAATCAGAGATTTTAGCAACTTAAGTTATTAAGGATTAAATTTGGCACTAAATTAAGATGTAAAATTATTTTAGTATGTAGGGGAGAGAACAGTATATGATAAGCAAGTAAAGTTGACATATATTTTTAATTTTGATTTTAAGGATTCTTGTTATTATTACCCTTCCCATTCAACCCTGTCTTTCTACCTATTTACTATATTTAGTAGAATTTTTAAGAGACTATCTAACTAGGATTAATTTTAATATCTGGGGAAATGGTGAGTTGGTAACATATAGTAACATAATGGATTAAAGAATTTTGATAGTAAGAGAAAACTTGGCATAATTTCCAGACAAATAAAAACCCCATGGCCTGTTTTTTCAACTGAGGAAAGAATTTCTTAATATGTTGAAATATAGGCTCATGTATCTACTTTAGGTTTCTGGTTCCTTTCCACTAAGGGTCAAACCAGCTCTTGAACACATATAGAAATTATACTTCAAAGACTCTCAGATACTTTTCCAAATTCTATTTCTAGCATCACTACCCAGGAGTCTCTGTGTCTCCCATGTTTGGGATCAACTTCATTGTTTACTTCACAGGGCCAGAAATGCAAAAGGCAACTCAAAGATTTGAATGTGGCTCTAAGGTGATGGTTTGTATACTAATAGCACATTCTTCTCTTTTTAACTTTAATTTAAATATGAAATTTCTTCTTCTCCCTCTTCCATTTACCCACCCTCTCTTTACACAGTTTTAATATACATATTATATCTATATATATATGAAAAGTAAACAAAAGTCTGAATGAAATAAGGAAGTCAACTCAAGATTTAAAAAAGAATTGATAGAGTGTGTATATTATGTCTCTCTCTGTGTATATGCATGCCTAAATATATAAATGCAAACTATTCAGTTTGTTTAGTGCTGCATATTTTTTATTATAGACCACTTTTTAAAAATTCTATCCAAATTGTAAATAGAAGATAGAAGAGGAGAAATCCCATAACGCACAAGAAACTCTATAGAAGAAGAGGCTGAGCCCGTATTGACTGAGGATGAGTATCCAGAGAAAGAATTCAAAAAATGGTTACAAATATGCATAAGCAACCAAAGAACATATAAGTATACTATAAGAAAACATATTTTAGACCTAAACCAAAGTCTAAATAAACTAAGTAGGTCCATTCAAGATTTGAAGAGATAGTACAACAGAGTGTTGCTTAAGAAAAACCTAACTGAAAACTTAGTCAAAATGAAAAAACTCAATAAGTCAAAAAATAAAAAAAGACTCAGTAGATGCACCAAGAGAATAGACAATGTGAAAAAAAAAAAGAACTGGATCATTCAATCAAAGTCAATGATAATTTTTTAAAAAACTCAGTGGAATACAGAAGAGTTTTGGGACACTGTGAAAAGACTACATCTACAAAACATGTGCATAAATTAAGTAGACTATGGTGGGAAGGGTATAGAAAATATCTTCAATAAAATAGAAGAATATTCTCAAGTATGTGAGAAAAAGATGCTCGTCCTTACAAGAATCCAACGAAATACCAACTAGACAATATGATGAAAGAAAATACCCATGGCATAGCATAGTTATAAACCTTAAATCACAGATAAAAGAAAGGCTATTAAAATAGAGAGAAAGGTATAGAGAGACAGAGAGAAAGACAAAGATAGGTAGATACAGAGAGACAGGTAGAGAGAGATAGAGAAACAGAGAGAGACTAAAACACATATAGGAGTGGGGAAGAGAAGGAGCAGAGAGAGAGGGAGATAGACTTGTAAAGTTCCCAATAGAGGGAGGCCAATCAGAATAACACTCATATATTCAGTAGAAGTATTTAAAAGTTATATGTGAACTACAAAAATATCAACAATGAAAAGCTTGACTATTATATACAGTAAAACTAATAATCACAGTTGGAGAAATAAAACCTTTCTACAATAAAATATACTAAAGGAATTTATTTTCACTAAACCAATACTACAGAGGATACTTAGAAGTAATACTGAGTCGGAAGAAGAGAATAAACATATTCAAGATGCCACAGAGGGATAAACAAACAATACCAGGAGAATTAATCAAAAAGATCTAAGAAACTATAAAACTAACAAAATGACAAAATATTAATATACATTTTGTATTCACAGCTCTGAATTCTGAATAGTGATATTTTCAATTCCCTAGCAAAAAGGTGTTAACTAATTGATGATGAAAAATAGAATCAGTCTTCTTGCCGCCTCCAAGAAACATACCTCACCATGAAAGATAGAGAGTACCTTAGGGCAAGATGGAAAAAGACAATTGTGAGAAAACAGTAAGGAAAAAAGCTATTATAGCTATTTTAATACCTGACTAACTGTATTTCCAGCTACAACTGGTCAGAAAAGATAATGAAGGCCACTTCATACTTGCTAAGTCAGTAATCCAACTGGAGGTTATTACAATTATAAGCATATATGCAATGAATGTAAGTGTGCCTATTGCTGTAAATACAAGTAAGCAGGAAGCCCCAGATTAAGGTCAATTCAGTAATAGTAGGTACCTTCAGTATTTAACTTTTACAAATAGATATATCATCCAGAAGAAACAAACAAAACACAAAATATTAGAGTTAAGTAACCAAATATTTGGACCTAACTAATATCTTCAGAACATTCCAATCACTAATTGACACACATTCTTGTCAGAAGCTCATGGAATTTTCTCCAAAATAGAATACATATCAGGGCATGAAGCAATCTACAAATATGCAAAAATTTAAATTACTTGATGTCTTTTATCAGACCATAATGGAATAAAACTATTTGTATAAACAGTAAGATAAGACAAAAAAAGTACACAGATTCATGAAGTTGAAACAACTCACTAATAAATGATGAATGGCAACTGAAGAAATCAAGAAGAATATTATGGCATCATAGAATCGAATAAAAATAAAAACACAAGATGTACAAATGAATGGGAGAAAATGAAAGCAGCCCTCAGAAGAATGTAGAAAAGTTTATAACATTATTTCCTACATAAAAAAGAGAGACAACCCAAATAAATAACTTAATTGTGTACCTTAAGGCCTTTGAAAAACATCAGCAATGGAAACCACAAAGCAATGGATATGGAAAAATACCATCAGAATATAAATTATTGAAATAGAAATGTAAAATATATAAAAAAATCAGTAAATTTGTTCTTTGAAGAGGTAAACAAAATTGACAAACTCTTAGACAAATTAGCAAAAATAATAGAAAAAAAAACACAAATTAATAAAATTAGAAAAGTAAAAGGAGGCATCACAAAAAAATTCAATTAAAATAAAAAAATTAAGGATACACTTTTAAAAACTATGCTCAATTATATTACAAAAATTTAAAGAATTGGATGAATTTTGAGATCATATGGCCTATCAAAATTTTTTTTTAATATTTGTTTATTTATTATATATACAATGTTCTGTCTGTGTATATGCCTGCAGGCCAGAAGGGGGCACCAGACCTCATTACAGATGGTTGTGAGCCACCATGTGGTTGCTGGGAATTGAACTCAGGACCTTTAGAAGAGCAGGCAATGCTCTTAACCTCTGAACCATCTCTCCAGCCCTGGTCTATCAAAATTTATACAATGTAAAATAAGTAATTTAAGCAGATAAGTAGGCAACAACAATAATGGTACTATTTCATCCTTAGTGAACTTATTTGCCTTACAGACCAAACAGGACTTTGGTTTCAGGAGGTCCCTTTTTTTAACTGTTACTCTCAGTGTCTGTACTACTGGAGTTATGTTTAGGAAGTGGTCTCCTGTGCCAATGCATTCAAGGCTACTTCCCACTTTGGTGTGGAAGAATTGTCTGTATTCTGTCAATCATGTTATAAATAAACACCGATTGGCCAGGGAGGAAATATAGGCGAGAAAACCAGACAGGAAGTAGAAATGATGTAATGAGTACAGGAGAATTCTGGGGAGGAGGAAGTTGATTCCTCCCACTCCTGCCCAGATCACCAAAGCAGCAGGATGTGATCTGCCTCACTGAAAAATGTACTGAGCCACATGGGTAACATAGATCAGAAAAATGGGTTAATCAAGATATGAGAGTTAGCCAGTGAGAGGCTGGAGCTAAGGGGCCAATCAGCTTTATAACTTATAGAGATTTCTGTGTGATTTTTCTTTGGGACTAAGCAGCTGGGGTACCGGACGGAACAGAAACCCCAACAAGCAGGCCCCCCGTTCATGTTACATCACTTTCTCTTCTATCAGGTTCAGTGTGGTCAGATTTATGTTGACATCTTTGATCCATTTGGACCTGAGCTTTGTGCATGGGAATAGATATGGATCTATTTGCAATCTTCTACATTCTGACATACAGTTATTCCTGCACCATTTGTTGAAGATGGTTTCTTTGTTTCATTGTACAATGTTGGCTTCTTTGTCAAAACTCAGGTATTCATAAGTGTGTGAATTAATGCCAGCATCTTCAATTTGATTATATTGATCTATATGTCTGTTTTTATGCAATAGCAAGCTGTTTTCATTACTATAGATCTAATAGAACTTGAAATCAGTGATGGTGATGCCTCCAGAAATTTCTTTATTATACAGGATTATTTTGGCTATCCTGTTTCTTTTTTGTTTTGTTGTAGGGAGGCTGCTTGTTTGTTTCCTGGCTTCCCAGACCCAAAATAATCACACAGAAATTGTATTAATTAAATTACTGCTTAGCTCATTAGCTCTAGCTTCTTATTGGCCAACTCTTACATCTTAATTTAACCTATTTCTATTAATCTGTGTATCACCATGATGCTGTGGCTTACAGGGGAAAGTTCTGGCCTTTGTCTCTGCTGGCATTACACAGCTTCTCTTGACTCTATCTTTTTTTCTCCTAGCATTCTATTTAGTTTTCCACACCTAGCTCAACTCTGCCCTATAAGGCCAAGCAAGTTTCTTTATTCATTGACCAATAAAACCAACACATAGAAAGAACTTCCACATCATTTTCCCTTTTCTTTTTAAATAAATCATAAGGTTTTAGCCTTAACATACTCAAATTTCATATAACAAAACAGGTATCAAGCAAAAATTCCAGTTACAATATTTATAACTACTTTTATTATAACTAATAAAAGCTATAATTATATATTCTTCAACTTCATCAAAGACTCCAGAAGGATATAATGCTACCTAAACAAACAGGAAGTACATTGTAAGCATTTTCCAAAACACTAGAATTGACAGAGACTTCTCACTGCCTGGACAGTCACCTAAATTTCTTCTTTATTATTCAGACATCCATATTAAGCCTATAGGCCCATAGTATCCAGCAGACTTTTCCATAAAGCAGGAAATTTCAAAGACAGTTTCACCAATATTCACAGTTTGTTAGTCACTTTCTTCTGTGTCCTGCAGAATGTCTGGCAGATTCTTTTATGAAGCAGGAACCCCAAAGGATTGTCTTACCTTTAGGCAAAGTCAGCAGTCATTTCTCTGTGGGTTATGCATGTCCAATTCATCAGGAAGTCCAGGCAAGAGCATTTCCGTGTCTATATGGCTAACAAACTCCATAAAGAGCTTCGTCAATGCCCATCATCCTCTTGAAGTAGTTTGGTGCTGCCAGGAGAGGATGTGTTTCATTGTCATGAAAAGTCCTA